TCCAGCATTCTGCGCCCAAGCAAAAAAAAAAAAAAAAAGACCGCGATCGGCAGTGGCAGTTCAGCGGCAGGTCCTTCGCTCCTAGAGGGAGTGAGGGATCTGCCGCCCCTGAATTGCCGCAGGTGCCGCCCCTCTCCCTTGGCCACCCCAAGCACCTGCTCATTCTCACCTGTAACATGCTGCTGAATTATTTTCTGTACAGTCAGGGTTGAAGATGGAGAGTTCCAGAATGGGCCTTGTAGCTGAGGGGGAAAGAGGAACAGTTAGGAAGAGAGGAGAAGAAAAGAATAGGGGAGACAGTAAAGAGGCAGGAAGAGTACCAGAGAACAGGAAAGTATCAGGGAATCCAGAAATGTAGATAGGGAGACAGAGAGGGCAAGGGGGAAGCAATTGAAAAGGCAAGGCTGGGTGGGTAGGCTGGCAGATGGGCATCAAGGACAGTGAGTGGAGCTGGCATAGGAGCTAGAAAGGGGTCTGGCAGGTGGGAAAGAGACTATTTGTATGTTGCCAGGCCATACAATGGGAGAAGCTGGAGGTGTCATCCAGCCATATAGACCTTGGCCTCGTAACAAGATTTCTTTGTTGTTTGGGGAGAGACGGCACGTGCCTTGGGTCAAAACTAGGCTAAGAGCTGGTCAACATTAGGCCAAGAACTACATGCAATTAAACAGTTTTAATGATCAACAAATCTGGTTCCTTCTGCTGTGTAGATGGGGCCAGAGAGACAAAGGTATCCTGGAAACCCCTGTAGGACATATTGGTTGACAAATAGCAATGACTATTTCATGTTAGAAATGAGATAGTACTCCTCTATGTCTGTCTTTCTCCTGTTGGCTAAACAATAACACAAGTATAACATTGTCTACTTGCTTTAGGCTATTGGACTGGCTTCTCTTGGATCATCTGATGTTGAGATTGAAAAACTGGCAACAGTAAGTATAGATTACACTTTAACATCAGAGATAAAATACAAGGGCCCTGATTTTGAGAAAATACTGAGTGTTCCCTTTCAGGTGTCTCAAGTTGGGTACCCAAAATGGAGGCATCACAAAAGTTGTCTCTGAACTGTATCTCCAGATCAGGAAAGGGCAGAAGCATGTGCTCAAGTCCATCCTTCTTCAGGAAAGCAGATACGCACATGTGTAACTTGAAGCAAGTGTTTAATTATTTTCCTGAATCTGAATGTCTTCCTGAATCAGGGTCTTCATTGAGTGCTGTTGTCACAAGCTAGTTCTTAATTGCCTCTCAAGTGAGATGCATGGTCTAGTGCCCAGAGCACAGGTCTTGGGAGCCAGGAATATCTGCATTCCCTCTCATTTTTGATACTTCTCTCTCTCTCTCTCTCTCTGTGATCTTGGTTAACTCATTTAGTTGGTCTGCTTCTGTCTCTCCACCTGTAACAGGGCTATTACTGCCTATATCATAGGACCATTGTGAGGACTATCTAGTTAATGTAATTAAAGTGTGCTGCTAAGTGTTATGAGATTGATTTTACTAAAGCTAACTTTGAACCACCATTGATTCCTTCATCTATTCAGTTCTTAATATTTAGATTGAACGTGTTCTACACAGCTGTGTGAGAGCAGGACAGATTGAAAGTTGTCAGCATTCATGTTTGAACTCACTGCCCAGACAGCATCATATCACATATCACATTATAGCTGTGAGTGTCAAGATTCAAGATCCTCACTCACTTAGCATCACAGAAGTGGCACAGGGGTACTTTCAGAAAGAACGGGGCACCCCATTCCACCTTCCTATCCCTCAGGATCCAACCAAAGAGATCCTATACTAAAAAGATGAGGAATGGGAAAAGATCCCCATTAGAAAATAAAAAGGACCTAGATGATTAGAACATCACAAATGGAGTATTATCATTTGAAATGTGGGTAAAAGTAGTTAGAAGAGAAAACCCCTAAGGAACAACAATCCTGGGTGTTTGTTTCTTTGTTTGCCTGTTTGTTGTTTGGGGTTTTTTAATTGTAAATGTCCTTGCAAATAACAAGTCAAAGAACTATGAAGGTCTATATCAAAGAAACCAAGATATATAGGTAGATTAGTCTCATACTCTTCTGTGAAGTATCAGCAACTCTTTAAGCGGAGTGCTGTAAACAAATCACATTGGGCTTGATTGAAACTTAGGGCTCAGTCCTGTGTAACAGGAAGTGCATAGCCGAATGCCCCAGAAGGGGGCCTGAGATGAATTGTGAGACAGAGCCACATTGGGAATATGAATGATTCCTTCCTTCCCTGTTGTTTCTTGTTCTTGGGGCAGGTTATAGGTTCCACCCCTCCCTGCCCTTTGGCTGGAGAAAGGTAGGCCCTGCTTCCTCCCTCCCCCAGCTTCCCCATGTCTGCAACCGCAATGTGGGAAGTGTTAACAGGGTTGCAGAGGGGGAAAGTGTCCTAATTCCCTTACTTTCCTCAGCAGGTCTGTAGGGCTGGGTCATACTCCAGCACTTAATGTGCAACTACTTCAATTTGCAAGGGCAGCCAAAAGATATTTGTCCTTGTTGTCTGTTGTAATGCGATAAAGATGGAATGGGCTTAATTTTAAAGTGGATGTTGGTGCTAAGGGATGGATAATTTCAAATTTCTGCTAATAGTGCCATACAGAGAATGGAGGGGAGGGGACCTTTCCTATTTCATTTTGCTCAAGTAGTAGATAAATTTAAATATATAAATATGTAAATATATACATATGTAAGGATATTTTCTTAAAATATACAAACTTAATGCTTAAAGATAACTAGAAATTAAGAAAAGTAATAAGGAGAAAAGAAACAAAAGAAAGATAGGGCACAAGTCAAGTAAACAAAAAGGGAGGTGATTATTAGATTAGTTTATGGTTCTCACAAACTGATTAGTTGTTCTTGGTTATCAGCTCTATTGGTTTACTATTGAGTTTGGTCTCTGCAAACAAAATGGATCCATCAAAGCTTATGGGGCAGGACTCCTTTCCTCTTACGGGGAGCTTGTGGTAAGTAAAATGTATTTATTATTGACTGATTCCTATGATCCATTTTCTAACGTTTGTGGGAAAAGTTAATGAATGTTTTCTGACATCAAAATATTCTGAGGATCATTTTAAAAAACACTTGATCACCACATTTAGAACCTTACTTCTCCACTCCTCCCGCCCTAGAGAAATTCAGATATTCCCTTCTCTCCTACAACAGCCATCACAAATGTGAATAGAAAAATTATAGCGTTGTCTGTCTTCCAACTAAATAGCCAACATAGCCATGAAAACTAACTATACTCGTGAACTAACATAGCCATGAAAACTAACTATACTCGTGTACCTTCCCCAGTACAAGCTTGGTCTCTCTCAGCATATGCACAATGTGCCCAGCCATTTGATGGCATCAGTAGTAACCAGGTAGAGAGCCGGTAGCCCGCCCTCAAAAGAAGT